AGCTTAGACTAGTAAAGAACTCTGGCAACAGTTGCTGTATGCTCAGTCTCTTTCATCTCACTTGCTCAAGCTTGTAACTCCTTCAGAGTGGTCTCAGGTGTTTTGGTGGTCTCTCATTATTCTCCTTCTTCACGGTCACTCAGTTTGTGACGAAGGCCTGTTCTTGGTAGATTTACTCATGTCCCATATTCCTTCCACATATTGATGATGGATTTATCAGAACTGGAGATTCTTAGGACCTTGGAAATCTTTTGTCTCCATCACTGACTTGTGCTCGATGCACTTTCAGATTGTAGTTTACCTGAAAATGCTCGTCAGATTCTCAAATGTTTTTTATTTCCTCGTTCATCGATCCTGAGATGATTTCAGACTCGCGATAGTTTGTCAATTAAATTATTTTCTGTAATTAACTTCAACAAGTTAAACCTCGTTAAGTGTCAGACTTTCAGCTTTTACCTGAAAAACCATTTTAAACTGAACCAGAGCTGCTGAGTGGGTTTACAGCTGAGAGAACCTCAGAACCACGGCCCGACTGCTCATGTTACAGCCTGCTGGTGTCTGGCTGCTGTGTGTGTTGTTTGGTTACTGTGTGTGTGTGTTGTTTGGTTACTGTGTGTGTGTGTGTGTGTGTGTTGTTTGGTTACTGTGTGTGTGTGTGTGTGTTGTTTGGTTACTGTGTGTGTGTGTGTTGGATTCCTGCTCTGTGATTGGCTGAAGCTCGTTGTGACGTCTCCGTGTTAATTCCTCGTCTCTCTCGGGGATGTTGGCCGTTCGAGGTTCTGAGTTACAGCAGAATGAACAGAGTCCAGATCGTGGCGGGTGAGTCAGAACCGGGTCAACATTAGCTGAAGATGTTTGAGTTTGTTCAGGTTTAATCAGAACTTTTGGTTTTGTTCCTCCGTCATGAGCTGTTATCAAGTTGTAAAAGATCAAAGAGGAACTTTGGAGAATAATAGGAAGATAAAGTCTCTGCAGAACCTGATGTTCTTGATAACTTTTCACTGAGTCCAGTTTCAGTCATCTATATATATATATATTGGTTAGCTCAAGATATTGATTGTTTCAGTCTATATCTAACTTTTTTTTGTCACTGACTCGTGTTTTAGTCTCCATTACAACCGTTGTACATCATCAACCCAGAATGCAT